TTGTAGTATTAGTAGTAGAGACAGGGTTTCACCATGTTGGACAGGCTGGTCTCAAATTCCTGTCCTCAAGTGATCCACTTGCCTTGGCCTCCCAAAGTTCTGGGATTACAGGCGTGAGCCACCACATCTGGCCCACTTATATATTTTTTAGATGAATTCGTGAATTAGTAAAATACCAACTGATCAGAAAAGTGAAACTTTACTATTAATAGAGAGCTATCACTAGGCCTTTAAGGAAAAACAAGAAGAAAAACAAAACTACTTTGGAAAAAAGAAAAGTGAAGTGAGGCAGACATGGAAGAGCCTGAAGTCCATTTAAGGACTCTGGTGTAATTGAAGTTGCTAATTACTTCTTATAGCAGCTAAATGGGCTAGGTTACCTTTGCCTGTGTCCTACTAAATCACTGCATAAAAACTGCTCTAGAATTGGAAAGTTCTGAGGGCTTCTTTGAACTCTAAAAATTTCTTAGTAGCTACAGTATTCAGGCACTCCACTTCTTAGTCAAGAGGAGGGGATTTAGGAATGTTAGCAGGAAAAAGACACTTTATTCAAGTCCTTACAGGGTAGATGGTTAACATATTTTTGGCTGCCCTACACCTTAGAATCCCCTTCCTATGTGAGGAATTATGTATTTTTTGAGTCCTGGCCTTCTCGTGGCAGAAGCCAGGACTCTTTCTCACCTCCCATGCAACTCTTTCCCACCTCCCAGGCACCAGCAAGTGTTGGAGGTCCCCCCAGTCAAGCACACTCATGCATCACCTCATTGCAAAACCTCGTGACCCACCTAAGTTGATGCTATATAGATACCCCAAGTTTCTTTGCTATTTATACATATATATGTATATATGCATATACATATATACATATATTTTATAAAAGTTTCACAATTATATAAAAAATAACGAGGTCCTAACCAATCTTATCCCCAAGAACTTACATTTGTTCAGCTTCCTTGAAAGTCAGGAGGTATCCTTTTCTTCCCAAGCTTCCTTAATCATCTTACAACACTGAGGTGAACTATCAGGGGAGTAGGGAAGTGGGTGGTGGTGCTATTGTCTATCCTGGGTTGGGGAATAGGGAGGGAGATGACCATGAGAAAAGGGGTCTGAGTCTCACTGAAAGACAATCCATGTAATCCATCTGCACAGGAAGGAATGAGGGCAAAAGAACCAAAGGGCTTTATATCCTCCAGGGATATAAAGAGCAGGTGAGGTGCACTGAAGACTGAGAAGGATAGAGGGGTAGGATGTGGTAGTCACAGCAGGGAATTCCAGACTTAGCACAAGTCTGTCTCAACCTTTTCCCTGATGGTATGTATATCTCTATTTTTTTCTTTCATTTTAATTGTTAACGAGATCTAGGTATCACTTCCTTGGGGAAGTAAGTTCTTTCATGTTATCAGCCCATATCACTTCACTATATTCTGTTTACAAATGGGTTTATTCAATTAATGGTTTATTTGCTCAGATTGACTCTTAATACCTGTACAAGTAGTTTTACCAGGCTTGATTGCATATGGCTCTGAGGTGACATTTGATTGACTGCTCTGCTATACAACAATAGTGGAAGACCTATAGGATTGCAAGGGAAGGGAAGAAGAGAACTAGAGTTTACTGAATACCCACTATACATTTGACATTTTAAGCGTATAAGTTTTTTTACTTCTAATAACTCGTGACAGTTTATTATACCAGTTTTTAGAAATGAGAAACCTGAAGTTCGAAGAGATGTATAACTTATCCAAGATCACTGATTTAGCAAGTCTATGCCCTTGCCACTGTACTTGGTGGACACACCCATGAGAATGCTGCCATTCTGACTGAATTGAACTTCCTCTATAAAATTCTGGGGATGACAAAGGTAAACTCATGTAACCAGATCAAATAAAATAATGTATGCATTTAGTACAGTGCCTGGCACATAGTAGATGTTGAATCACAAAAGTGGCCATGCTTGGGAGACACATAAGAATTTTCTGTGTGTAACCGTGAAAAGTTAAAGCTTTAATGGTGTTTCCTTTTGCACCGAAGGCAGAGCTCTATGAAACTGACTTGTCAGCTTGGTCAGGCTCCCTGAACTGTGAGTGGACATCCTAGGCCAATTGGTCCATTTTGGTATTAAGTGAAGAATTATCATATTAAGTAAAAAAAAAAAATGTGACACCTACCTTGAAGAAGTATAAAGGTAAAAA